AGTCCATTTATGTAGTTTATTTTTCTTAACTTCTCACAAATAAATGTTAAAAATGTTGTGTTATTTCACTATATATGTATATATATTATGTCAAGCAGATTTTCAAAATTATTATTTTTTTTACTTTGGACTTACAATTGTTGAACACATTACAAGCAGCCCAGCAAGTCATTAGTTTAATGCTTGTTCATGATAGAAACTGAATGAAATCTATTCCACAAATTTTATCAAAAATTTGTTCCTGAAATTTTATAATTGCTACTCTATTGCTATATCTTATTTCAATTTTAAGAGTTTTATTAGAGAAATATAAACTTGAGCACAATATTTTTACAAATTTACTAAAAAAATAAACACTCCTCTAGGATATATTTACCAATCATATTCAAATTCAATTACATATGATACTAAATTTTATTATCAATACAGCCAAATTTTAATTATCAAATTATAAAATACATTATTCGTATTCTTTTTTTTTTTTACACATTAAAATTAAGGACTTTTAAGTACCTTCCCAGGCTTTTCACCGGATAACTTCTAAGACCCTTACTTATGATGAAATCTTGGCAGTAAATTATCAGTTAAGCTTATTTTGTTAAATATTAAAGGTTATCATATTAAATTTTATCATTATCTTTAAACAAGTAATAAAAGTATAAGTACCTAGCTTTAACATAGCTTCTGTTTACCAAGTAGTATCATCAAGACTGATATTATAAAAACAGCCTAAAGAGACGAGTTTTTAATATCAATTAATTAATGTCAAAGCTTTTCATACACTACTCTTTTTGTCTATCTGTTTGGTCTTCCTGCAACAAGTTGCTGTACTTCATATTTTCAAGCCATGTAGTATTGAACTGGCACTTGCCTGATACATTTAGTTACTGTAGATTGCCCAGATATACACTATGTAATCCTATTTATAACACCAGTTGATAGACATAACATATGTACTACTGCTACAGCCTATCACACACACACTTGCCAGACTGAGACAAGTTATGAAACAATCAAAAAGTACATAACAACTCATCACAGCACAAATGTTCAATGATTTTTGTTTGACTCATTGAGTCATGCCCACTGAGGCAGGCTACTGCATACAAAACTAATAAATGTAACAGATTTATCAGTTGTATACAATTGGTGTTTATAGCTTCCTTCCATATACCATATCCTTCTTCCATTTTTCCTCTTTAAAGTGGCCCTGAGATACATGTATCTTTAATAAAAACTTAGATTGAGGACATATCAAAGCATCTAACATCCTATAATAAAATCACACATATTTCAATACAAATAGAACATTTGATAAAATTAAGTTCACTTTAATGCTTAAAAAACCTTCATACTAATAATTTCTCTTTATCTAAAAAAATAAGAGTACATTAAAAATGTTTTCATAAAAAATCTATCCATTGCAGAAATTCAATGTTTTTACCTGAGATCTGATTGTGAACCTGAAAATTCATCTGAACTTTTCTTCTTTAAGAGGTGATTTTGGAACATTTCTGTGCAACCACATTTTTCTCCTTTAATTGGTGAGATCTTAGCGGTTTCAACTTCATCCACTTCAAAACTGTCTTCTTGAAAACCCCGAAATACAGAACTAGATTTTTTTATATTATCAATCATGTTACTGGAAGCCTTCCCAGAGTCATAGATTGATATTTCAGAATCCTCTGAATTTGGAGACTCTAGCTGTACCAAAGAAGAACAGCAAGAGTTTTCTTGGTTTTGATGTTTAGAGTGTGGTGCTTCTTCACCCTCTGGTACTCCTCTTTCCTCCATCCACACTGGAGAAAGACCCTTTTCTTTAATTTTTTTTGTTTCCCTACTGTTTATATTGAGTGCTTCTGAAGATCTTAAAAATTTAAGATCAAGAGAAGTGTCATGCACTTGTAGTATATTCCTCTTGTTCCTTTGTTGCTCCAGGTCATCTTCCAATTCAAGATTAGGAGTATCACAACACATTCCAGAATCTCTACTATATCTGTTACAAACAAAACTCTTTTGATTTTCTCTTTCCCTGTTTTCCAAGTTCTCTCTAAGCTCATCTTGCTTCTGAGTATCAATACTAAGATTATCACAACTATTTCCAGACTTGTACGTTACTTTCTTTCGTCTACGAACAACTCTGGTGCGTATCACTTCAACATCAGTAGTATCTGAGGTAGTATCATCACTGTTCAGAGACTCCTTATCAATGATATGTTGTAACCTGGTCCTTTCTTCTGGAGGAGTTGCCTTTGGAATAGCATTATTATCCACCTCTGCATGCACTTCAACTTCTACAACACCCCTCTCACACATAACTTCCATACCATTCTGTGGGCACACAACACCCATGTCAATTTCTTGAAAACTTCCCAATGAGCTGGAACTGGGTAATGTTCCCTACAAAAAATATACATCTGTGTTACCAAAACAAAAATAACAAACAAGATTTACTGGAGCTGGTTCATCTAAAAAAATAGAGAGCTTTTGGTCAAATAATTCTTTTAAATTACGATAAATCAGCTTTCTAGTAGATGATTTTCAAAGTTCATTTTTCTTCTATCAAATAAGAAATATATCATTATATTCAATGATGAGGAACCCACTTTGAGACTAATAATGCTTGGAGACGGCTTGAATGGGTAATGAAGAAAAACTTTAATATATGTTTAACATAACAGCAAATGTACATTTCCACGTATATTTCCATGTATATTTTTAAAAGGCTTATTATTATTATTCATATAATATACAATGGAAGTTGCTTTGTTTTTTAGTTATTTGTGTTGGCATGACAGGTGGTGTGCAAAGCATTATAGAAGTCAAAATTGTTAATACTGCTTTCATACTATTGTTGCAAAACTGAAGTTGAAAGAAACTAACAGTATTGTATACATGGTCCCCAGTGTTTTTTTTTCCTTGCTACTTAATTTAAAGGAAGTTGAGTTGTGTATTTCCTCTTAGTAATATATGCCTATTCAATTTATTACTAATGTAAGTAGTCTGGAATAATTAGAGTTGCATATATTTTCTTTATTTGAAAATAGATGGATTCACAAAAATTGAAATTAGGTTTTGGATATGAGATCTTTAACCTGATGGTAACATCACATGTCTGACAAATTTTGGCATGGCTGCAATACTTTAAAATTTTGCACTACACCACTGCTTGCAAGTCATGTGTTACAGTGGCTTGTAACTTTTAAGGCCATCAAGTAATTCCACAGTTTAAAATCATATTAGCATGGCACAAAACTACACAAAGTCAGTCAGTAGGTGTCAACTTTCAAGTGAAATTTATAATGATGGTGCTGGATACACATGTATAAAATGGGTTGTAAGCAATTTAGCATTTGAACTTTAACCATAAGCAGAACATTTACACATTTTCTGCACTATTTAACTACAGTATGTCAGACTAACTGTATAGAAACTATTGAAATAATGTCATGCAAAAAATAAACTGAAATATATTAATCACAAAATTGAAACAAAACAAAAAATCTTGAGATAATTATTAAGAACAACTGTTTTTTCATCATTCCTTATTGTTTAATTGTTGTAATGATGTTTAACTGCTGGATCTTTAATTTGTAACAAGTCACACACACATAGTAAAAACATTAGGGTATAAACCAATGGAAATTATATATGTTTTATTCTTATTAGAAATTTTTCATTTCCCTGTATAATGAAAATACGAATCATTATTTTTTGAAAAATCGTTTTTCAATTTTTTTATGTTAATTTTATAACTAAAAGTCGTAATGGTTGATGTCTGTTAATATCATGCATAGCAAACAGTATAGGTGGTTGGTGTGACAATGTTTTTAACTGTACTAGGCTCTCTACTGATTTCCTAGTTAATGAACTTCTGAACATATAGTTAATTATAATAAGTAGAAAAACTTGATGTATAAAAGCTATTAAGTTACTGCTTGTCTAAAGCATTACTTCACCCAAACTACACAAGCCAGATTTTCTCAAAGAGATGCACCAGTCATCAAGCTGTCATACAATGTCTATTAATGAAACAGATCATTGCCTGAGAAGACTATCTAGGCAACACTTTATAGGTACCATGATTGTGGGGTGTTGTTGGGAACTGGATTAGGGCTTGAAGATAATGAAAACAATGTAGATCTAGATATTTAAATCCCATATTAAAAAAATACTTGTTAAATTGTAATTGTTTTCACTGTTATTTTGTTTATTTTAGATGAAATTATCAAACTATATAAATTTGAATGCTATTAAGCACCAAGATTTCTTTTGAGCATTATTTGTCATTTGCTGAGCACTATCTAGAAAAATTCTAAGAAATTTTAAAATATTTTGATGAAAAATTTCAGGTCTGCAAAATACTTTTATAAAAATAACTCTCACAACCTCTGTATTTTTGACAAAAAAAAAATGACCGGACTTTTTCTTTTGAATTATATTTGATAATTATTATAAAAGATAATTTACTGAAAATACATGAAAATTAATTTAGCCAAAAGAAGAGTACTTATGGTTGAAATATTGAAAATTGTAAATTACTTCCCTGTTATTAACATAGTTACTGACAAAAAGTGTATATCTCATTAACTCTAAAATATTTCAGATTAGAGATATGTACTTAACTATCTAAATATGACTTTTCAAAGTATATATTTACTACACAAATTTAAAAAGTTTATGACTAAGAGGTGGCAATGGCAATTTACCCCCCCCCCCAACTCTCAATCACCAGCCATACCAAGCTGAAACTGAACAAATTCAAATTAATCAAAAATAATGAGAAATCATAAGAGCAATATCTGATTACTCAGATAGAATAATAAAAAAAGTAATAACTGAAAACCTTAGTTTCAATTAGTTGATTATTTTTTGAGTTGCAAAACTGATTAAGCTGGATGAACTGAATCAAAAAATAATAATGAGAATCAAAATAGCAATATTTTTATTACTTGGTTTGTTGGACTAATCAAAAACACTAATTTCAAATAGTTGATTATTTTTGTTGTATTAACTGATTTCCTTATCATTTCAATGAATCGAATATTTTATGTGACACTAATTAATATAATCAATGTTTGTCAGTCATTCATTATATCAATTAATCACCCACATCTAATAATGAAACATTTTTTGTAGCTCCAACTTTACCTCTGAGTCCTTGTCCAAACTCCATGATGATGCTGTACCTTGTTTTTTGGAACTTCTTGTTGAAGATAAAAACTCTGGTTTGTCAAGGCTGAGTACATTCTTGAATGTAAATTTTAACAAAATAAATAATATTAATAATACTCAACCTTTGATAACTTATTAATGTTATATAAATGTCTATATTATATAAACACATACATATACACGCAAGTTTTTATTCTACCACGTCTTAAAAGTCACCTATCTGTACACCTAAAAGAGGAGCAATCCACACAATCCTTTTAATCCTACAACTTTAATAATTTTAAGAAGAATAAACGTACGATGCAGCAAAAATCATACATAACATGGTGCTACTAACAGAAAGTGGAATTTTACCTTAAATCTAAATATGTGGATTTAAATAAATAAATAGAAAACTCAGAATGCATGCACAGCCTTCGATAAATCAATAAAATTATCCTAAACATTCAAAAAATTTGTCTTTATACCAACTAATTTCATGTTAGCTTAAGCTTTAAAAAAAGGCAAAAATGGGAATGAATTTCTATTGTTGAGTTTATATTTTATTATAAAAATTCAAACAAATATTGATCACCATATTCCATAACCAAATTACACTAAACCTCCTAACATTTTTATTTATGAGAATAGAGTAGGTCACAAGATATTGGATATTAATGAGAAATATCTATAACATAAAATGTTTACATTTTCCTATACTGAAAACGTAATTCTTATAATACTTACCTTACCTCTTCTCACATTTTAGCTTTATACCGACAAAAGGTTCTATTCTTTGCTCCTCTGCGCATTGGTATGAATTCTAGCTTGCTTGCTCCAGTCTTTATATCCCACTATATCTCCCCTAATTATTTTAATCTTGTGACTTTCTCCACCTAATCACTGTGCCCTCTATACCCGTTCCGTATATAAGCTTCCCATTATTCCTTCTTACTCACTTTTTCAAGACTGGCAAGATTATCGGACCCGAACACTGGCTATTGTGGGGAGGAAGGGCAAGATAGTTTGAGAGGAGGTAAGTATTATTGGAAATACATTTTCAGTCCAGGAAAATGTAAACTTCTGAAATACTCTTCTCACACATTAGCTAGAATCCCACACTGACCAGGTGGATGGGCCTGTGAGGGCAAGATCCACACAGAAAGCATCTGCATAGAAAAACAGGTGTGCAAAATTGAGATATAATAAAGCACACTAGTGTGGGTCCACACTACCTCTGGAACAGATATGCTCTTCGCCCAGATAAGGTGAAATCTAAATGTGGATGGTAAAGGCCAACCAGGTACAGAGTCAACATTGTTCATTATCATGAGATTCATCCATGCCTCAACCACACAGGCATTGGAATTATAGGGCTGTGGACACAAAGTTAGATTCAAGGTGTAGTGGCTAGGGCATGGGGACCACAAGATGATATAAGTGTATAATAGGAATATGATATGAAGGGAACACAACCTGAAAGTTACAGAATGTTGCATGATGAGCCACTAGAATTATGACAAGAAGGCGAGCAACACCTAAATGGACAAACCCTCACTCTAGCCTGAAGAATCACAAAATGCAATAAACTGAACTCAGAATTACAGGCCCAGGCACCCAACCTGAAAGTTACAGAATGATGCATGCAAACCACCAGAATTATAAAGGGAAGGCAAGAAACATCGAACTGGACAAGTTTTCCCCCCAACCTGAAGAAGCTCAGAATAAAACAAACAAAACTTGGAATTACAGAGCCAATTCATGCATAACTCAACCTGAAGAAACAGGGATCATCCACCCTGGGATACCAACAAAATCCTAACTCTTCAACCTGGGAGGCAAGGTAAAACCTCTTGCCCTTGGAATTATGAGGAGGATTGGAACAAATGAAGTTCAACCAATGGCTCACGGACAAGACATTGCTTGCTGAATTACACGGACTCGAGGACCCTCTTCCATGATCATGGAAAGTAACAGAATGACCAAAAAAGAAGGTTCATGCTCACATAACCTGGAATCAAAGTGTCATCTCTGAACTGGAATTACAAGGAATCACCCACATAGGCTGGATCAGCTCCCCACTCGAAATCTGGGAAAATCATTCAGGGTTAAGAGTGGGAGGATATCCAGCTTCACCCTCTTCTCCTTCAGTGGAATAAAGAGTACAAACATCACTCAGGAACAGAACACTGTACACCACTCCAGCGACTAGAAACAGAGTGGTAAGGACTCCCTTGCTCCACTAGAAGAGAGGGGGGGTCGCATTTGGGAGTACAGAGGAACGACACTCCAGAGACAGTGCAATAGGGGAACAATGTTCTTTATTTTGGCCAACCCTGATTTGTTCAATTCAAGGGTTAGCAGAGATGGGCAAGGTCCCTTTATGCTTTACTCATGATAGACCATGAGGGGCAGCCAAGTATTGTATATTACAGAACAGTTGATCACCAGCTGGAAAGTGCCAAGGCAGTCTTACGGAACACCCCATCTCAACAGAGCTCGTTACTACGAGGAATTTAGTTATGAGTGTACTGGTAGCTAGTGGGAATTTGTAAAAGCATATCTGACCAGGCAACACTTGCAATTGAGTGGGATACAAATGAGAATGATGAGAAGGTCTCTGAAAAGGAATAGAAAGAAATGAAATGCCTCACCTCTGTCACAATCAGGCCAGGGCACATAGAACAGCCACAGGGGTAGCCAAAAACCCATCTGAGGAGGAGACTGTTAATCATGTAAATACTGTGTGGTAGACAGCATAAAAAAAAAGAAGACCCAGGTAGATACTATATTGTTTTTCTTGTTTATTCTTTATCTATTATTATAAAGTAACTAAAATGCAAAATTAAGGGTCTCTTTAGGTTACTTAAGGTTAGATTAGGTAAAATAAGTAATAACAATATGATAAAAATGTTTCACAGGCATGCACGTGAGCAGCTTGGACTCGGAATATCTCGTGGGTAATGTAATTCGATAGCGTAACGTGAGCTCCATGATTTACAACTTATAATGGCATGAATAGTAGTAGTTAGTTGTTCAAAGGGCAATCATAGAGCAATAAAACAACAAAATTTAAGTATAAATAGATGATGTATAGTGTTATGAGTTTAAAGCTACTTAGAATAAACAAATGTAATTTCATGTTACAATTTGAAGTCATTCTAGAAAGAAAAAAATGGTAATTTTGATTTGTTTTAATTTTTTTGGTGGTTACGAGGTCAGTAAATTTGACTGACTCTCTATAGAGCTAGGGTAGATAAAATAATAGATAAAATATAAAGTTTTACTCAAAACAAATGTTTGAAATGTATTTAGGAGGTTTTAGAGATTACACAAATGATATTTGAGATTTTGGGGACAAAGAATAGTTTTTTTAATCATAACATGAAAATCACTTCACACTCAGACTAGTAACAAAAAAGACTCAATATATTCACAAACAAATCTTACGTAAAAATACTTCATTAAAAAGACTTGTAATGTTTACTAAAAGCGTACCAAATTTTGTGAAGTTACACATACTGCATTAAAAGTTATAGTATATATACTTAACGTGTGCAAGTGTGTATACAAACTCATGTATTGTATACCAAGCCCATCGCAAAAGGGTTAACTGAAGAAATTATGTTTCAAGCAAAAGATGATAGTGAACATTACCCCAAAGGTTCAAAAGATGGATGTGATGATGCATAGAGAGCCACTGTGATATCCCAATGAGGAACCTGAAAAGGCCAAAGGAGATGGATAACCTGAAATGATTTCAAACATAATTCAAAAGCCTTGCTTCTCCTAGAAGCCACTAGACCTTTGTCAAACAACTACATCAAAAATTGAGACATGTGGCACAGTAGGATGTGAAGGGTTAAACCCATGTCTGAGAGACCATTGATGATAAGTAAACCATTTCCTTTGATAAACTTACAAAGAAGAATATGAAATGGAATGTGTTAATAAAGATGCCACTCGAGACATCAATCCCAGATGTTGTGCGATGGACCTCATAAAAGCCATGCGTGCTGGATGAAAAATCTCCTACTGTGGCTGATGTCAGAAAGATGGCCAGGGAGGAAGGGGAAGAGGTTGACACTCCTGAATATATTGAAGGAGTGGAAACCAGGGCCAACCCAGCCAGTATGGTGTCTGAATAAAGGAAAGTGCTGGAGTCTAAATTCTCACTAGTTTGCTCTTGATCTCCCACAAACTCAGCCTCAGAGCCAACATGAGAAAAGGCATCAGGCCACACACAAAACTCTGTCTGTCTGTGTAGAAGGTGCCCCCCTCTGACACCTGGGTAACAGACTCGTGAGGTGGTAGAGGAAGAGCATCAGGTGACTTCGTGTCTGAGACATGAACATGAGTGTTCATATTCGAGAAATGTCTCAAAAATAAAATAAAATTTGTTTTCATAAAATCAAGATATAAACAATAAACTGAAGCCCCATAAAAAAAGGTATAAAATAATTCAAAAGAAAACATTGCAAACATACTAATAGCACTGAAGAGAAACCCACAGTAAACACATAAGACCATCTTCGTAATTTTTGCTGTTGAGAAAAAGTGAATACAGAAGAATAATGGGGAGCTTATGTATGGATCAAATACAGAGGGTAAATTGATGTAGGTGAAGGGAGTCACAAAATTAAAATCACTAGGGTGGAAATAGTGGGGTACAATGACTGGAGCAAGTGAGGTAGAATTCATATCAATGCTTAGATGGGCAAAGAAGGGATGGGATAAAGTTAAGAGAGAGAGGATGTAAGTATGTTTCAGAATTTACTCAGAATGCTTTTAATATGATCCATTTTTCTGGCACATGTTCATTCAACACCATAACATCTTGCTGGCATTAAAAGTAAACATGGCAGTCAAAGTTTCTATAAACATGAAAATAAAAATTACATTATACCACTATGGTGAGTTAAAATTGGAGCTGGATGATTAGCAGAATTTGATAATTGATTATTCTCACAAGGGACTTGGATAGTTGGAATAACTGAAAATGTTAACAATCTGAAATACTAATTTCAATTAGTTGACTATTCTCGTGAGTCATGACATTAATTGATTAACCTAAACAATCTTGAATTAATCAAAAATAATAATGAGAAATCATAACGGAAATATTTTAATTACTTGAATAGTTGGAATAATTGGAAATACTATTTTTGGTTAGTTGATTATTTTTGTGACATTAATAGATTTAATCATAATTTTGATTAATCATTTATTTTATGTTACACTAATCAATGTGATCAAATTAATCTTTCAGCTCTGTGATAATAACTTCATTTATACATGGGTCAAAGAAGCAAGAAGTACATGATTTATAGCTTAACCTGACTTCAAGTTGATTAAAAAATACATAAAATTATAATAATACTTTTTATTTGATCTTAGAAAAAAACATGTACATGAAATCTTCTTGTGAGTAACAAGAATACATGATGTATGTGTATATTTTTAAAAAGGAAGTTTATACATAATCATAATAATATGTCACTGACATCTTTTCTATAATGGTGTTAATAAGGCACTTGTCTTAATAAACGTTCATGCAGAAAAATGTCAATAATACATGTACATAAATTACACTGAAGATATTCTAACTGTATGTTTCTGATGAAACAATTTGCAGAGCAAACACATATCCCTCCGACTCTTTGCTTTATTTTTGGTATACAGTCATCACAGTATGTACAAATAAGTATCCTAACCCATATTCACTGCTCCTCTTATTACTTTGTAATTTGAACAGCTGATAAGAATGTCAGAAGTGTTGTGAAATCATAGTAAAAAATAACATCTTACTAGTTCAAGCTGGAAAGGAACAAATTCTAGGCCAGCTAATATGGTAACTAACAGTTGAGTCCTCTGTCAAAAAAAAAAAAAAATTAGCAAAAACATTTTGAACATTAATGTTATTGTTTGTAAATTAGCATTTACTTAAACTTTCTCACAGCTAGCAGTCTTTGGTAGGTTTTTACTAACTCAAAGATACACCATCCCCAACCCAGAAGAAAAGAGATGGCATAGGTGATACTTATAATTGCTTATCTGCAAACATTCAACATGAAAAATACTAATTATTTTCAGGCAATGCAGACAGGGATCAAAATATTACATTCATCCATTACCGAGGAATTTCATCTTTTTAGTTGGTTTTCCCAATCAAGAATACATGGTCCATCCATATTCCTTTAGTTATGATCAATGAAAGTGAACATATTGCATGAATTAAATAGGAAAAACATTTCATGAGGATACACAACTTTACATGAAGGAATGTAATCTACCTGATAGATTTCCCTAGAGTGAATGTAATTTTATTTCATTATTTCTATATCTGACAGAACATTACAAATGAAACCTTTTTCACAAAAACAAACACAGTAGTAAAATCACTTTTATTTTTTCATATGACATGAGGTATAATAATTGTTTTTCAAAATTTATGGAGACAAAAACAACAAAGTTGAAGACCTGAATGAACGAACATGACAAGTATTCTTTAAAAAAATCACTCACTTTTATCCAAGCTTAACAGATGATAATCATTTTTACTGTTTACAAAATTCAGAAGAAAATCAGAGCCAGACACTAAGTGTTAACTGACAAATAAATTTAATACATTTCGATTATCATTAAAAAAAATTATTATTAAGTTTAGAGCAACACCTGTGTAAGTTTTTACACAGATGTTTCAGAGACATAAAGTCAATATTTAATAGAGAACAATGAATTTAAAATAAGACTGTCCCAGTTTCAAAACACAATAAAAAATTGTTTTACTTAATAATTTTACTGTATAAAGATGAAATAAAATACTGTACGACTGGGAATGGTCTTATACTCTCTACATATGTTTTAACATCTTACTATGTCATCAATAGTCATTTCAAATTCACTTTACAACATTACTTTATTTCTCTGATACAAAATCCTAACTCAGAGAAACTCTTAAGCTACCATAACTAGCACTACTAATGAGAGCCAAGGAATAAAATTTATGTTAGTCTTAAATAGGTTTTACACAGAGAACATCAAAAAAGAAATTTGAATGTAGCAATAATAATGCTTTGGATTTTGATACCTTCCTTATGCATAAAAATGTCAACGTACATGTACATAAGCTACACTGAAGATACATATATTGCATGTTTCTGATGAAACAGAAGTTATAATTTTCCTACACTGAAAACTTATTTCCAATAGATACTTTACCCCTTCTCAGACATATAATTATTCTCATTTAGTGCTGCCCTCTATATGCAAAACGTTTTTGCATGCCACAAACCTTGAAACTCCCACCTACACCACAATCCACGTGGTTCACAGCATCTTTGCATGGAAATCATCATGCGACAATCCTCCACCAAAAGGAGTAAGACATAGCCTCCTGATGCATATGGCTCCCTCTATTCTATTCTACCTAACTATCACTTCGAGATTAGGTAGAAAAAAAGCAGTGGTTTTAAGTGGGGAGTAAGGTGGGAAGTGTAACAGGAGGTAAGTACCTATCAGAAATAAATGTTCAGCACAGGAAAATTATAACTTCTGATATGATACATTACCTCCTCTCACACACATATAGCTAGAATCCCACATTGACCCAATGGAGAGACTGATGCATGGGATATAAATAAGTATTCTTTGAAAGTGTGAACCCCTGTTGGGAGAGGAATACACGTGGGAGACCGTACCACTTCTGTACCAGATGATACTCTTTGCCCTGTGTGGTAATAGGTGTTGCATACACAGGTGGAAATTGGGAGGAGCACATCCAAAGAAGAAGAGAAAACTGGGTAGGTTCAAACACAAATCTTACAAACGAATGTAGAATCTCCATCCACAAATGGGAAAGTGGGGAAAGCTAGAATGGATGTGCCCCATGGTGTATAGTGGCTAGGGCATGTCAGACTGTGCCCAGCATATCAACTTCAGTACAAAACCAGATGGCATCAGGCATACATCATCCAACCTGTAGGAGGAGGAGGGTCCATGCTGTCTTTACCTTAAGTTCAGTAGAATGAAAGAAGACAATTTCCATACTGATCTACAAAACAGGGCATATGTGTGCAAATCCACAACCAGTCATCCGGGAACCCGACGTTTGAATGATGGTAGGAAGGGATGTGCCAATGTGGCAGTTCAAGTCAAATCCAAAATCAATCAGAGTTGTCCCACACAGCTCAACATTAGCCTCAGGTAGTGAACACCCTGAGGTGGAGTGCCCTGTGCAATGTCATCCTCCAGATAGGAGTGCACAGAAGCTAGAGCACATGTGCATGCAACCTCAACCTCCAGAGCCCACTGCACAGAGGTGGAACGCATGTTGAAAAGATACACAACATCTCCTGGATAAGACCACACAGTAGCTGGAGTGCAACTTAAAACCACCGCATGGAAGTGGATTGCTTTTGTAACATATGCACAACCACACTCTCTGGATGGGACTGCACAGAAGTCAGAGTGCAACATCAACTTCCAGGACACACAGCACAGAGGAGGAGCGCATGCTGCAAAAACCCTAGACCAAGATAGGATGAGGAATCACAACCAACATGTGTGAGAATTTATGTTCACTGGTCCAACTCTAATCCATAACCATTCACGGGTAGGATGAAGGATCCCAGTTGAAGAGGTGAACTGCAATGTGATAGATCTACTCAAAAGCAACATCATCTTCTGGATAGAACTGCACAGAAGCTGGAGTGCAACATCAACCTCCAGGACCTACCCCACCTAAGTGGAGTGAATGAGTGGAGAATCAACACCACCACCCTACTCTCTACTGAATGGAGGTGATCAGATTTGGGAGAATGCCTCCATGGTCCACCACCCCAGTTTGGAACTGGAAAGTGGCAAGGACTCTCATACTCCACTGGAAGAACATGGTGGGGGAACACATAGTGGAGAGTCCAGAAGAATACTGAAACTGGAGGCAGTGCAATGATATATTGCAAGGAAAATCTACGAGCAATCTTGTGGAACATCCCATCTCAACAGTGTGTGTTATAGGCTATGGATATACATCAAGATTGTCGAGATCAGCCACCCCCCAAAGACAACTTTGGTGGGAAGTCCCATACGACTCTCACCAAGCTATCCCATGCAACATCCACGTACTAGGGCCGAAATGCATTGAGCAGGAGTGTCAGGAGTAGCTGAAAGTAACCCATGCACATGTATCACCAGCAGCATGTCCCATGTAACCATAGTCCACAGGACAATTAGATTTGGGAACATGCAGCATCAACCCCCATTCCCCACCCCAGGACCCACCACATGGGGTTGGAGTGACTGAGTCACTTGGCGGGATATATCTGATGCGTCTTATTGTTGGCCATATGGTGTGGAATTTGGTTAGATATGTAGCATACCTGGACAGGAAATGCTCACCACTAAGTGGGAACCTAGACCTCAAAGGGATATTTCCCTGGAAGAAAAGTAAAAAATTGAAAAAGTTAACTTGCAAAGTCACAGGCGAATTGATAAAATAAATATAAGAAGAAGAAAAAAACTGGCCTGCGAGGCATTAGTAATAGTATGTGGAAGCCCTGACATGAACTTTGGAAATCCAAATGAAATTAAGTAGACTTGGTAAAAAAAGTACAGTGATCAAACTATAGAAGTTGAACAAAAAAACATTAAAGTTCTACTTTGCATAGTTAAAAAAATATTGCATGAAAAACAACACAATGTTAAACACATCTGCACTCAATAATTGCCTAATAAGAAGTGACAGTTAGGTAGAATCGAATAAAGGAGTTGCATACATCAGGAGGATGTGTCGTGCACCTATTGGTGAAAGGTTGTTACATGATAATTAATACATGAAGACATTGTGAACCTTGTGGATCATGGGGTAGGTGGGATTTTCAAGGCTTGTGGCATGCGAAAAAACTTTGCATACAGAGGGCAGCACTGAATGAGAATAACTATATGTGTGAGTGAAGGTAAGATACCGTATCATAATTTGTTGAACAATGCTACTTGTATTATAAATATACATATACCTCTGATACTACCTCAGATTGTTTTGCTTTATTTTTGGCATATTGTAACACTACTTGATAATGAGTGAAATTTTTAATATATGTTTTAAGTTCTATTAATTCTTCAGGTCAAATCTAATCACACTTAGGTACATGTATACACACAGTCAGTAACTTTCATACAGTCATATTTGAGCATTTTAGTTACTAATAATAATGATGTTAGAAAAACACGTAGGTTCAAAAAGTCTTGATAGAAATGAATAAAAATCTTATAACCCGAGCACTTTTCACATATACTCTTGCCATCAGCTACATTGTACCAGAAATGAGTTGCTTACAACAGTACATAGAGAAATAGACTAAACATTTCCAGATGACATTCATGATGTCACTAAACTCCCTTTTTATATATATATATATATCACTCAATCAATTACACTACTATTCCCAGTTTACCCCTGAAGAAGAAAGTTCCACCTTTCGAAAGTGCTCGGATTATAGGGTTTTTTATTCATTGTTATTTACTAATATGTAACTAATATGAACAGACACAAACAACATAATGTTACATTGTTAATCACTGAAAAAATAATTTAAAACAAACTAAATTTTTCTCTTGGGATTAACATGTACAAATATAGCTTACATGCATCATTAACAACAAATACCATAACAAAGCTGAGATTGAGGTTCAAGAAAATTAAGCAATGTGTTTTGACACTGCATAAGTTTTGGTCTCTCTCAACTGCAAATTTTTCCTTTAGTAAATCACATAATGTTCAAATAAATGTATTCATAAATATTTGATTAAATCACTAATGAGTTACTTTTAATAAAATAAATAAACCATTGCTTTGATATTCTATATTTTGAGGAGATTACTTAAATTGTATACCTCAGCTATTTTCTTTCAGAATTATTAACTTTTAAGAAAATTATTTTCACACAAATTTTTTGCATCAAGCCAAAAGAATCATCATAAAAGTTGAATTAACTAAAATTTTGAGAAAACTGTACAATACCTAATTTTTAAAATGTCCATCAAAACAATAACATTACCAAAGAAAGACAGTAAAATGCATGATGTGTTATTTTCATAATTGTAACCTCTGAAGAAAAATGAAGAAAACAAATGTATGTACACAAAAATGTACACAACATGCAGTGTACATGGAATCTTACATGTAGACTATGTTGATATATTTAAGATTACAGAGATTACAAAATTTTTAAAATGTTCCTATTAAAATTATATACAATTTAGTAATTTGAAAGTTATAAAACCTTAAACTTATCCAAGATTCTACAAAATCAATATTCTCATTAGTTAACCTCTTGAATGAATCATATTTCCTCAGATATGTTAAAATATTTAAGGAAGTGAAATTGAGACAAATCAAGACTGAAACTATTGATTCTGCTAAACTAAGCATCTATGTCTCAAGTGCCTTAAACCTCAATTTTCACTTTTGATTTTTCTTAACAGTGACAAACTTAACACTTCTAATACAATTTAGATCTGTGAAAAGTTACGTCATTAGCATTTACCAATATTACGTTCTATACTATTTTCGGTATTTCAGTAGTTTCTAGGAGTGTTTTCTTTTCAACAAACATGTCTAAAAAAATGACAAACATTATACTCTGTCAGAAAATATTAAAGATTACATCTAGTATTAGCAAAAAAGTTCAAGTTAAATCTCTACCTTCTATTAATGTGTTTTGTACATCATATGGTTGGGTTTCATCAAACAACAGAATATCACAATGATACACTAAATACTGAACAGACAATACTGATGCTTAAAACCTCTTTCTTTCCCTCACTTCTGTGAGCTCTTAGTAGATGTAGTATCTTAAAAACAGGTTCAATGTTTCCATTCTTGAGAAATTAAAATTCTTCATTTCAGTAACCCTCCTTGAAAATTATTTTAAAAATGTAACTGTTTAATGATAAATAACAAAATGACCGACTTGCAGATAGATCTTTGTCAAATAACTTGATTACTTTTCACTTACAGTTGGTTAATAAACATATTTATTATAAATACCTGTTCATCTCTAAATAAGGCTGACTGCATATAAAACTTGTGGACTATTTTTGGATTCTGAAGGAATGACCTGATGTAAGCTTCCAACATGCATTCATTCAGGGAATGAAAAAGCCAAGCACGACTTTTTCCAAGACTAGATGTAACTAGCTCCAGTGTTTTCAAATAATCTTGGGTATTTCGATGACAAAATTCTTGTACAAATGGCCAGTAACCCCATTGTAACTGCTTCAGGCTGAAAATTTTTAAATTTAAGAACAAAAGGATAAGCAAGATGACAAAAGGCCAATAGGCCTACTGAAACCACAAATGATCCAAAGGAAATATAAATAAAATAATAAAGTACTGATATTAAATAATTTACAAAATAATTTAAATTCATAAAAGTTAAATATAGCCCTTCATATTCATGTAACTAGCTAGAAGAATTTTAAGAGCACTCAGACAACAATTACAAACATCACTAAGTAAACAATTCCATATACTTATAACTCTTACCAAAAAATGTTTTTATCTTAAAAGAAGTCTGCATCTAGTCTTCCAAAAATTATAAACCTATTAGCCCTAATATAGTCATGCTTGTATTTTCTACCTTTTCATCACTCAGACAATCCATAGGAAGATTAACCAACCTCGTAACATTTTTGAGTACCTAAATCAGCCCAAATTCTTCTGCACTCCAGAGAAAATAATTTCAAAACACTAAGCCTCTTTTCATAACATAAATATTTTAAGGCAGGAATTATTCTAGTGACCAATCTTTACACTATTTTCAACGTATTTATAACCCTTCTATGATATGGGGACCAAACAGCACACAGTACTCCAAAAGAGGCATCACCAGTTTTTTTTACAAGGCTATAATAATCTTATTCCTAAATTAAGAATTACTACAGACTAAAGAATTCTATTTGCAAGGCACAAAACTGGTACACATTACGTGGTGAAGAAATCTAAGATTGTGATGAAAGACTATATAGTAAAATGGGGAAGAACCAAGAAGTGATGGAGGCGAGACTGTTTGATCCAGAACTCTAATCAGCATCGAGCATACACAAAGAATGGAGAAACCCGTAGGTATGACAGGTAAAGGATGGGAAGGTGCCTGACATGGAATATGAACAAGGTGGCAATGTCACAGAATGAAACAAAAAAAAGTAACCAAAATAAATAAAATATAGCATCACAGAAACCCCACATGATACTAAATGCACAGGAGTAACCAAAAAAAATGGGCTGGTGGAGAAAAAGAGCCGACAATTATTCCCCATTAGAAGTGGATGGTAAACAAACAGTACAAGACAGTGTCCTACCCCAGAAGAACCCAAAAGCAAAGAAGGCAAGTGTGGAGGAAGAAAATTGGAAACCAGATTCACAGAACATAATAAAAAACTTTCCCATGTTTTCCACCATTGCAACTCAAAAAACCATAGTATATCTATTAAAAACAAAGTAATTTTAAACAAAGAACTAAACATAAACAAACAAAAAATCAAGGAATTCATCTTAATTGAACAAAACAATCCTACTCTAAACCAACACCCTGGGGTCCCAAGATATCTCTTCTAAGTCATGCAACAATATCCAGTCATGTGACCTCTTTGTTCCATACTGTGTGTGTGTGTGTATATATATCTGTATCAGTGTAAACTACTTGTACCTGATGATGACAAAACCTTGTTGAAACATTGTACATTTGCTGTTATGTTAAACTTATATTAAAGTTTTTCTTCATTACCCCTTCAAGCCATCTCCAAGCATTATGTATGTAAGGTACCTTGTCAGAATTTGAAGTTTCGAAGAGCCAAGAAAAGTTCACAATTCCTCTTAGCCATTATGATAATTTTTTTACTTCTTATCTCTATAAACCTCAAACTTTTCCATTTTACGTGATAGTTTCATGCTTATTTATTATATAGATATTATAAATAATTATTAGAAATTTAATCCCTCTACCTATTTCAGAGAAACTTAAACACCTACTTGGAATATATTCTTTTTTGGCTACCTGAACAGAGCTAATAAAAATATCAGAAGTTTTGTTAACCTTTTTCCCATTCAGAATAGTCATCCATCCTTTCTGTCCAAAATATTTTACACTATTTACAAGTGAACTCTCCTCTAAGACCTCGGACATGATCCACATTAATCCTAAAAATGGTTTCAATATAAGAGTTAAAGGCAATAAAAATTTGTATAATTACTAGTGCTCACATATTCTTGCACAGTTACATTTTTATTAAATTATCTTCAGTATGGTGAAAAACGTATAAAATGGCAGCTTCCCTAGTTGGATATTTTACATGTTGAGTGAGAAAACAATACCATAAAACCTAAAAAAAAAAAGTCTTATTTCATACAGTGAAAATAATAATCCAATATTTTGGGAAAAATAAAGTCTTCCATAATAACAAGCTTATTTCTGTTGAAAAAATAACTAATATCAACATAATCACCAGGCTACCTTTAGAAAATGCCAAAAAGCATCTTTTACTTTTTCCCTTTCTTTTAGAAACCTCAATTCAAAGTCATAAACATATCACTCTTTTCTTTTACAACCTCAGCCTTCTCTGATGCTATAAGCTCACTTCTAACAAACAAAAACAGCCCTCCTCCTTTATTAACCATGTTTCAATGAAAGATCTCAAAAATTCATAAAATAATATCTTCAGAGTCTTCATTTAACTTAGGCTTGTTAATACCAACAACATATAGTATGTTAACTGCTGCCAAGGCTCCTAATTCAAGCAACTTAGTGCACAAACTTTTGCTATTAGCATAACAGAAACTAATATTATTTTTGACAATTCTGTCAGTATTACCAACTAATTGATATATGGGTCAATCCCTCAAGATCAAATAAATTTCCATTTTATGTTATAAACTTCATTTAAACAGTCCCAATCATTGAGTTTCCCTAAAATATAGGTTTTCTAGCCTCCAAGAATGTCAATTATACTCAATCTTCTCTTCCCTTAAATCATCATTAGAATGATCTAGAGATATTTTTGATAAACTCTGATTTAATCTTTGCATCCTTCTTGAAATCTCTTATTCATATCTAACCTGACAAAAAAATTTCTACTCCTAAAGATCCAAAGTAGTTTTTATAACTTAGTTTTTAACACTTCAAACTAGCCTTTACAAACACCATTAGTTCTGATATCTACTACATATAGAGAGAATCCTCATTGGTTCCTAAAACTGTCTACTCTCTCTCTCTCTATGATATTCTGAACTAAGCATCTAGTACAAAAGTTTTAATCTCAGTCCTCCTGTCCACTATATCACAAACACATCTTTCAGTATACTTAAGCAAATAATTTTGTTTGGGAACATTTTCTTACATTCCTCACCTATAGCCAAAGGTTTAAGTTGTTTCATATAGTTAACTTTGTATAATTTGTTCTTCTTTATATGTCCTAGATATTCTTTCAATGCACAACCAGTATTTTATTTTCCTCCTTCTCAAAAACAATCTTCTTTTATAACCTATTTCTTGCAATTTAGCAATTCCATAAAAGCAAACTCCAGTTTTTCCTCTAACAATCATGCTCTACAAACTAACTTCATTGACTCAATCTGAGCTTCTTGAAAACTACTGCTTAATCTGCAATTTTAGAAAATATCCCACCACACCAGGAGAGCAACTTTCAATGAATCAGAAGTTGTCATATATCATTTACACATGAAGGATAGTTGTTGAGTAACTATACACACTATACAGTATACTAGTTTTTTCTTAATTTTGATAAATGAAAATGTTATTGCTGTTTGGCCTTCATATGTATTTCTCTATTTAAAGATGACCACTGCCACTAATGGTTGCTCCCTCTACACAAATCTAAGAGGAGCAATCACTTCCCTTCCTACCAAAATTCCATACTACTTCCTCTTTCACATTTATAGTCCCCCACTAACTCAGTACAGTTTACCTATCACTACTTTCAATCAGCAGATAAAAAATAAGAAATAAAATGCATAAACAAAAAAATACATGCTTTCAATTGATTGTTCTTCACGATCTTGCATTGCACTAGTAAGGAAATTAAAATGTGATTCTCTATAAAGAATTGTCACAATTTTATCTATTCTTATCAGGTAAAATGAAATTAATATAAAATATTGTTTATTTTCTGCAAATTGTACAGAAAAATACAAATATTTTCGGAAGTGCTTGATACCACAATTCAAACCTTTCATGACCCCACTGAGGTTACAACACACACTTTAAGAAACCCTGCTCTATAAAATCTGGAAGTGTGCTCCACACACAAAATTTGGAAAATCAAGACTATCACTTTGGTCCCTCCATCACTCTGATAATACCTTTAAAGCTGAGTAGACACTACTGTTCATTAATTTTGAAAATGTTTTTCTTTTGTGTGTGTTTGTATGTTGATTTATTGACTTGCAGTAATTGTACAATCATATTCATTACATACAGATGGGTAGAGAATGGACATAAAACATATGATACTAACCATCCAACTGTCATACGATGAACTTTATACTTTCCTCACTTCTCACTTACTCAAGAGCATCAGAAATGGCTTCAAAATAATTATTTGAGGCAGAAAGAGACTCAAAAACATTACAGTTAAAATGCCTCTGGTGTCTGAGTTCATGAAGAGAATAAAAACACCAATAGAAAAGGTATGTACAAAATCAAAATAAACAGATACAAGAAAGTGCATCTAATAAAAACACAGTCTATCTTAAAAAGCTCTTTAAAATTTTCCAATGCCGTGTCAATTATTTTATTAATTTTTAAATTAATAGATACATATCAAATCATAAAATACCTACTATACAAGCAAAGTTTTTAATAAAGGGTAGTAATTAGCTACTTACCCATACAAGAAAATTTTATCCAACCTCTCACACAAGAAATGCACTTCTTGCAACTGTCCATTTAAAATAAATTCTGGATTTGCTTTGCTGGCTAAATCTTGAATCTGAAAAATATGTACAAAGTTTTTAGAAAACTATAATTTATGCTGTAACAGTTACACACATACATAAAAATACTATGTAAAATGGCTTCTTCAACACATGGATAAAACCTAATGAAGCTTTCTTACAAAATAAGTAACTTATCCAATTAATCAAATTTTGCTTTACAGAATTCATGGCCAGCCCACTATAATTTATTTTGTAGTCAAAATTGTTCCAATAGGTATTTCTCTTAGCTGCATTTCATAGCCATAATATATATCTGTAAATTATTTTACTCTATTTTAAAAAAGTAATAAAATTAAAAAACAATTAATGATTATGATCATAATATAGCTTAAACATTAAAAAAAAAAGTTATGAAGTTAAAAATTGTGAGCAAATATTTGCCTGAATTTCCCAAAAAATTGTAGTTTCTCTGATCACTGAAATATCTGAAAAATTACAGTCTGCCTCCTTAAAATTGGTCACTAACATTCATTTTTTAGTTTCAAAATTCTAAACATTTATCTGCTTAAGCTTCTTAGTCACAAAGTTAACTCTAAAAAATTAAAACTTTTACAAATAAACAGCAGATGGAAAACATTCCAGGTTAAAAAGTCTTTTCACATGTCTATCCTAGTCTGCTGCATAATTTCTGGTCTATATCGAGCCAGTCCCTCAAAATACTTGTAATGACAAACATAATATTTTATATCTCTGACTAGTTGTCCCAAGGTCTGCTCCCATTGAATGTTTTAGAATGAAAGAAACAACTCCTTATGTTAATCCTAGAAATCTTTTCCCAGGATAAAATGAAAAATTTTCTTGAATTTAAAGTTTCTTATTGACTATTTTTGTTTTGTTTACTCTCTTTTCTTATCCAGTAAATTAGTTCTGCAAAAAAGAAATTTTGCTGTATTTTCTTTCCATTGTTTCAAATTATCTTGGACTTTTCCATTCACTCTCAATTATTTCATTTTCTTAGTTTATGTGTACCATTTATCTGCATTTTACTTTAGCGTTTGTTTTGCCCACAAAATGTTTTAAATGAACACTTAGATGTATAATATAATCCTTTTCTTTATTCTGTTATTGCCATTCAAATTTGTTCCTCATTTAGTTTTTACAGTGATTTTAGGTACTACCTGATAAAGGGCCTTGATTCAAAATACTATCATCATTTCAAAATAAATTAAGTGTTTTTCAATCTGGTGTTGTTTATTTTCGACGACTAACTTTTCTTTTTCAATTCTAATGGAACTAGATTCGACTTTGCTAGAAATTAACACAACAAACATTCTCTGAAACTGAAAGGTTATGGTTTAAATGCAAAACCTGGTTGAATCATAAGAAACCAATAGATCTACAATTTATGTTAAAAATCACTGACTACATGAATCTCCATAAATCTTAATGTGCTTATACATACATATATTGTTACGACTCCGTTCGTTAGTTAATTTTCCGTAAAAATTCTTTCCGATGAAACTTTAGCGACACAAGTCCTTTCTTAAATAAAACTGGTTTATTCTTTCTTAATACAACTTTGCAATACACTTAATTTTCACAGTCACGCTATAACAAATGCTATAATTCACAACGAACGCCTCACGTGCTCAACGCAACAATATGTCTCTCTGTCTCAGTCCACAGTTCAATTACACATTCATTACATTGTAGCTGTCACGTCTTGACTGTCTTATAT